GAGCAGTGGCCCGACTGTGCTGCGGATCACAGTTTATGGCAACCCCGAGCTGAGAGCCCGCGCCTCGGCTCCGTCTCTGCAGCCGCCTTCCCCGCTCCGATACCCAGGAGCTCTGCCGCACTCAGGCACCCCCGGTCTTTCTGTGACCCCAAGGGTCCTGAGACCACACTGTCCCGCGAGGGTTCCACCCCCAGCTTAGCCACTGGAGCGACGTCCCTCAGCGGAGCCGACTTATAACAGTTCCGATTTTGTGCTCCGCGGCTCTATCACTTGCCAGAAGCGGCCGACGGAGGCTCCCTCCCCCGCGGTCTATCCTCCCGAATATCGCCTCAGATTCACTTCTCCGCAGGTCCTACCTTCCAGTAAGTGGTGGCTTTTCTGCTCAGAGAGTTGTTGCTATTCTTTTCTTCAATCTCCTGTTGAGTTTGTAGGTGTGCAGAATGGTTTGATCCCTATTCAGCTGAATTCCCAAGACCAGACAAAATCCAGGTCTCCTACTCCTCCCCACTCATCTATTCTGAATTTTGTTTTGTTTGTTTTTAGATTCCACATATAAGTGAAATCATATGTCATTTATCCTTAGCATAATGCCCTCAAGATCCATCTGTGTTGTTGCAAATGGCCAGAATGCCTTCTCTTTTACGGCCGAGTGATATTACCCTGTATACACACACCACTTTTCATCATCTATTCATGCACTGATAGAAACAAGTTGTTTCCTTATCTTGCTTGTTATAAATGCTCCAATGAACACGAGGATGCAGATATCTTTCCAAGTTAGTGTTTTGTTTCCTTCAAATAAATACCCAGAGTGGAATACCTGGATCATATAGTAGTTCCATTTTTAATTTTTTGAGGAAATTCCAGATTTTTTCTCACAGTGGCTGCACTAATTTGCATTCCCTCCCTCCCTCCAAAGGGAGCAAGGTTCCCTTTTTCCCACATCCTCACCAATACTTGCTATTCCCTAATTTTTTTATAATAGCCATTCCAACAGATGTGAGGTGAAATCACATTCTGGTTTGGATTCGCATTTCCCTGATGATGAGTGATGTTGGGTACCTTTTCATACACCTGTTGGCCATTTGGATGTCTTCTTTGGAAAATGTCTATTCAGATCCTATGCCCATTTTTAAATCGGATTGTTTAGGTTTTTTCTATTGTTTTGAATGAGTTCTTTATATTTTTTGGATATTATTCACTTCTCAGATATACGATTTGCAAATATTTTCTCCTTTATTATAGATCGCCTTTTCATTGTGTTGATGGTTGCCTTGACTTACAAAATATTTTTAGTTTGGTGTGTTCCTACTTCTTTTTTTTTAACTTTATTTTATGTTATGTTAGTCACCATACAATACGTCATTTTTGTTTGTTTGTTTTGTTTTAATTTACATTTATTTCACTGAATACTGTTGGTAATGAGAATTTTTCATATTTTTTTTTTGTGGAAAGAGCCAAGATGTCTATTGACAGATGAATGGATAATGAAGATGTGGTATATAATGTAATGGAATATTATGCAGCCACCAAAAGGAATGAAATCTTGCCATCATTAGTTTTTGATGTGGGGATCCACCATTCATTGCTTTCATACAACACCCAGTGCTCCATGCAGTACGTGCCCTCCTTAATACCCATCACCGGGCTAACCCATCCCCCCATCCCTTTCCCCTCTAAAACCTTCAGTTTGTTTCTCAGTCCATACTCTCTCAGGGTTCATCTCCCCCTCCAATTTCCCCCCTTCATTTTTCCCTTCCTTCTCCTAATGTCCTCATGCTGTTCCTTATGTTCCACAAATAAGTGAAACCATATGATAATTGACTTTTTCTGCTCGACTTATTTCACTTAGCATCATCCCCTCCAGTCCCACCCATGTTGATGCAAAAGTTGGGTATTCACCCTTTCTGATGGCTGAGTAATATTCCATTGTATATATGGACCACATCTTCTTTATCCATTCATCTGTTGAAGGGCATCTTGGCTCTTTCCACAGTTTGGCTATTGTGGACATTGCTGCTATGAACATTGGGGTGCATATGGCCCATCTTTTCACTACATCTGTGTCTTTGGGGTAAATACCCAAGAGTGCAATTGCTAGGTCATAGGGTAACTCTATTTTTAAGTTTTTGAGGCACCTCCACACTGTTTTCCAAAGTGGCTGTACCAACTTGCATTCCCACCAACAGTGTAGGAGGGTTCCCCTTTCTCCACAACCTCTCCAACATTTGTTGTTTCTTGCCTTGTCCATTTTTGCCATTCTAACTGGTGTAAGGTGGTATCTCAGTGTGGTTTTGATTTGAATTTCCCTGATGGCTAATGATGATGAACATTTTTTCATGTGTCTGTTAGCCATTTGTATGTCATCTTCAGAGAAGTGTCTGCTCGTGTCTTCTGCCCATTTTTTGACTTGATTATTTGTTTTTTGTGTGTTGAGTTTGAGAAGTTCTTTATAGATCTTGGATACCAGCCCTTTATCTGTAGTGTCATTTGCAAATATCTTCTCTCATTCTGTGGGTTGCCTCCTTGTTTTGTTGATTGTTTCCTTTGCTGTGCAGAAGCTTTTTCTCTTGATGAAGTCCCAAAAGTTCATTTTTGCTTTTGTTTCACTAGCTTTTGGAGATGTATCTTGAAAGAGGTTGCTGTGGCCGATGTCAAAGAGGTTATTGCGTATGTTTTCCTCTAGGATTTTGATGGATTCCTGTCTCACATGGAGGTCTTTCATCCATTTTGGGTTTATCTTTGTGTATGGTGTTAGAGAATGGTCGAGTTTCATTCTTCTACATGTAGCTTTCCTATTTTCCCGGCACCATTTATTGAAGAGACTGTCTTTTTTCCATTGCATGTTTTTTCCTGCTTTGTCGAAGATTATTTGACCATAGAGTTGAGGGTCCAACTATGGGTTCTCTATTCTGTTCCATTGGTCTATATGTCTATTTTTGTTCCAGTACCATGCTGTCTTGGTGATCACTGCTTTGTAATGTAGCTTGAAATCAGGCAACGTGATGCCCCAAAACTTTGTTTTTCTTTTTCAACATTTCCTTGGAGATTCGGGGTCTTTTCTGATTCCATACAAATTTTAGGATTGTTTGTTCCAGCACTTTGAAGAATGTCATTGGAATTTATCTTTGCTTTTTGGAGTCAAATCCAAAAAATCTGTGCTGAGACCAATTTCAAAGACTTATCCCCTGTGCTTTTTTCTATGAATTTTATGGATTCATTTTTTTTAATGATCATAATTGGGATCAAAGAGATTGATTTATCCAAAGTCACAGTTAATAACCTAGATCAAGGTAGAACCTAGATCAAGGTCTAAAACAAAAGAGTTTTTATTCTTCAACAATGCAAGATCATAAAAGAAATTTATATGACTTAAGTATGGTTAACATGGTAAATTTTATGTTATGGGCATTTTACCACAATAAAAAAATTAGTAGGGAAAAGGGGAAATAAACAATTTTTCACACCAAGAAATATTCTTCATCTAATCATCTTAGATGCATATTTATTGATAGTAAGGGAAAATGTTCCTAGTGTGTTTGAAAAGCTGAGGAAAAAAAATATCCTAAATCTTCCAGTAGTCCATATATAGTGGACTTACAGTTGATTTTCTTTGTTCTCATTTTTCACATTTTCTTTGTTTTCTAAGATTCATGTGTCATTTAGTACTTGGGGAAAAGATGTTATCAGATGGAAAGAAAAAAAGATGTTGTGACTCTTAGCCAGCTTTGGTGCATTTGCGTGTGTGTCTCATGGAGACTCATGGCTGGGTGAGCATGGCAAGGAGATCCTACTGCTAATATAACTGGATCCCAGCTCCTTTCTGGGAGCACATCTGTCTGGTTGAGGAGTTTCCTGTCCTCATGGCTTCCACACTTTGCGCCTCATTCTCAGCTGACCCCCACTCAACTCCATCCCATCCCACAACCTTGAAGACAGGCCATTACCACCATCTGAGAAGAGAGGAGGGCAGTCCCATTGTCCAGATAGGGGCAAACATGAATGTGTCAGATGTGCATCTTCCCACATCTGGTTGTGTCCTGGTGTTGACACCGTGAGCCTGGAACCTTAGAAGGGAAGTCCAAGGTGCAGAGAAGAAACTCTGAATGTATTGGAATGCATAGGACCAAATATTCTGTCCCTACATTTTGATTCATTCTTGTGTCCATGGTTCTTATAAAACTGTTGTTATTTTTAGCCAACAGTGTTCAGCCTCTGCTCTATGAGTCCCTGAGCTACTCAGGGACCTGGCTAATGGATATCTTTCCTCTCATGTTTAAAGAACTGGGAGAGATAAGATGCCAGATAATATCCCCAATGACTCAGCTGTGAGACACTTCGTGTAGCTCCTTCATTTCACATCCTCAATGTCTCTGACAAAAGGGGACTTCCTTCAGGAGTGGAGCTAGTTGGACCCCACAGAGACATCTTTGGGCATCTTTAAAATGCCTGACATTGGTAGCTTGGGGCAGCAGGTGATGACTCTGTAGTTGGGCTTCTGTGAGTAATGGGAGGTGGAGCCTGTCAATGGGCAGGGGCCTGACCACCTGGCTTTATCCTCAGATGTGAAAGAGTGTTACCCTGGACAGACTCCAGCCATGACTCCCTTCACTGACTCGGCATTGAGAGTGGCCTTCAGTGCCACTGTCAACCTGACTGGAGCCCACCCCCAGGTCCCCAGTAGTGCAAACAGAGGTTCAGTGCCTCTGTCCACCCCACAAGGCCTGCAGAAGGGGATGTAGACCTCCTTCCAGCCCCCATGATGGCACAGCAGAGTGTCTGAATCTAGGTGCCCTCAGTCCCAGCCAGAGAGCAGAGATGAACAGAACAGTGAGCAGGCATTTGGAGCAGCTGGCTCCAGCTCAGACCTGCCCCAGGAATGCCACCTGCAAGCTGAGTTCTCTCCAGTCCTGTTGGCCGAGTCAGGCTGGAGGCCAGCACCTCTGCCCTATGGGAACTCACATCTTTGGGAGGTGACCCTTTGCCCTGTTGTGTTCCAGACATCAATGAGTGTGGACCACCCTTGGCAGTGTCCTGTGGAAAATTTGCAGACTGCTGGAACACAGAGGGCAGCTACTACTGTACATGCAGCCCAGGATACAAGCTTGCTTCTGGGGCAAGAACATTCAGGGATGAGAGTGAGAACACGTGTCAAGGTAAGAATTGACTTGTGTCTTCCATCTCCTCATCCACAAAGTTTGGAGTCACTTAGCTCACTTTCTCCAGGCATCAGAGAACATCCTCAGCACCTACCCAGGCACCCATATCTCTTTGAACTCCAAGGTTCAGAACCCTCTATAGAGGGTCACTTCTGAAAGTTCAAAAATCCCCCTTGCTCCCTGACATTTTATTTTTGTGAAATAATAAAAAAAAAGTGGCACTCAAGATATTTCAGGAGCTCCACAGCACATAGTTTCTAGTGCAAAATCCCTCCTTTTCACCAACATCAGTGATGGCCAGGATAAGACCTTTCCCCACCAGAGCCTACTTGGGCTTGGCCATGCTAGGAAAACTCTCAGATCTCTTGGACCATGTTGGACCCAGGGACCCCATCCAGAAACACTACAGTGGGAAGATGGGAAGGCCATCCCCCTTTCCTGGGCCTGCACTCTCCCTGGCCAACAATTTCAGCGTCCAGACCCCTCTTCTCAGCTGCTGGACCTCTGTCTATTTCCCTGCACAAAGCTTACCCTGACTCTCCCCAATAATTTCAGTTCACAATCCTGAGAGCAGACCAGATGACCAGGACCCAGGAGGATGTTGTGTGGTGTCTACACAGAGTAACACGGACCCACCCCCATACACACACAGAGAATTGGGTGATGAGAAGCAGCTCCTGTCTAGACCAGATAGCAATGGAAGATATCATCGGGGACCAGCAAGTGAGCAGTTGCCCTGAGGGAATTAAAACAAAAGCCATCACTGGGAGCCAGACAGTATCCTGGTTGGGAAATGTGGCATATTCTGGGCACATGGTTGCCTAGAAGACCCACTCTGGTCTTTGTCCAAATGTTCAGGCTGGGACAAAAATGACCATGATGTTCCCACCCTGGCTGAGAGCTGCCCAGGGAAGCTAAGAGCACTGGAGCTGAAAACAGGAGGATTCAGGCCAATTCCATCCATATCTGGACAGCTGAGCAGCTGGGCCACCACATTCACCCATAACACACCTCTGTATGAATAAGAAAAGACACCCACTCACTAGGGAGGAGAGTGGGGCCTTCCTGATGCTTCTATGCCCAAACTAGGGTCCCTGAATAACCAAATGATCACCTGGGAAGGTACCTGGCCCTGACCTGACCCCAGGCCCCTTCCCCCATCCCACACACAGATGCTCTCACACCTAATCAACCACTGTTGTTCCCTGCAGGCATCTTTTTTCCCACCTGGACCCCACCCCGTGGAATCAAGAGCCAGGTGAGTGGCCCCAGCTGGCACCAGGAGACAGGAAATCCTTCCTCAAAGCATGGGCTGCCCACCCTTCATGGCCGCCATTTTCCCCAAGCTTCTGCATCCACATTGAGGCTGTCTGACTTCCTCATCTTCCCTCTCCCTAGAGACTCTCCCACTTCTTTGAAAGAGTTCAAGATCTGGGCAGAAATTTCATACCAGCCTTTGTCCAGGACACTATCCAGGTAAGGTCAGAATCCAGTGGAGACAAGTTGGAAGCATCCCATGAAGGCCCAGGAAAGCCTTGGTGTGGAAAGAGGCATTCCCAACACAGTGGTGGCCTCCCTGAGGCCCCACCTCTCCCAGGGTGGGTGGGAAGAGCAGACATCCAGGTATTTGTACTCACTTTTAGAAACCCACCTGCACCTACTAACAACTTTTCATCTTACTGTTCCTGGAATTTGGGTTTATGTCATCCTTGGCATTCATGAACAGGATTGACCATGAGTGGCTGGATTCCAGGGCAATCCCAGGAAATCCCAAACAGATAGACAGTCTCTAGGATCTTTATTCTGAGGCTAAGTGGACAGCCTCTTCATGCAGTCTGTCTGGCCCATGATGCACTACTTCTGTGTCCCCATCACCCCAGGACCTTGTACAGGGTGTGGATGAGCTGCTGGAGACCCCTGAGGACCTGGAGGCCCTGCCCCACTCAGAGCAGCACTCTGTGGCCACTAACCTGCTCGTTGGCCTGGAGCATGTCTTGAGAAACCTGAGCCAGGCCCTGCCCAATGGGACATTGACCTTCAATGCATCTGCAGGCACAAGTAAGTACTGGGGTCTGCCCCAGGCTCTGCTCTGCCTATTCCAGGCCTCCTTTGTCCCCCAGCCTCACTGGAGTAGAGTGACCATGCTTGTATCTCAGTGTTACATGTATAAACAAATTAAAATAAGTGCTTAAAAAGAAATAAATTATGCTAAGTAAAATAAGTCATAGAAGGACAAATTCCAGGTGATCTCACTTATATGTGGAATCTTAAAAAATAAATAAATAAACACACACACAAGCTCATAGATACAGACTGGTGGTTGCCATGGGTGAGGGTGAGAGGGGTGCTGGTGAGGCATGTGGGGGTGGGGCAGTAGGCTAAATGGGCGAAAGGGGGTCAGAAGATATAAAATAAATAAGTCATGGGATGTAAGGTACCATGTAACTATAGTTAATAATACTATGTTACATATCTCAAAGTTGCTACAAGAGTAAATCTTGTAAGTTCTTATCTCAGGAAAAAAATTTTGTAACTGTGTATGGTGCCACATGTTAACTAGACTTCCTGTGGTGATCATCTTGCAATATATACAAATAATAAATCATTATGATGTACACCTGAAATTAATGTCAATTATACCTCAATAAAAATAAATGAATAAAACTATAAATAATATACATGTTAATATAAAATAAATTATGAGCAGATGAATTAATGATAATGATTAATTAATAATTAATGAAGAATTTAAGATAAAATAGAAATGCCTTCCCAAGAAAACAATTTATTTAATTTGGAATAATATGAATTTAATATTATCTGATATTTAAGTGTTTTATTTGTTTTATTTGAAGTAAAATTCACATACCATAAAATTCACCATTTTAAACAAAGTGTACAATTCAGTGGCAGTTATTTTTTTAGGATTTATTTATTTATTTTAGAAAGAGAGAGAGTAAGAGCAGAAGGGAGGGTCAGAGGGAGAGGGAGAGAGAAACCTCAAGCAAACTCCCCACTGAGCACGAACATGACGTGGGGCTGGATCCCATGACCCTGAGATCATGACCTGAGCCAAAACCAAGAGTCCAATGCTGAACCAACTGGGCCACCCAGGCGCCCTAATTCAATGTCATTTAGTATATTCATGGAGTTATAATCATTGCCAGACACCACTGGTCTGTTTTCTCTCTCTATAGATGTGCTTATTCTGGACATTTCCTATAGAGAGACATACACTGTGTTGCTTTATAGTGTGGCTTCTTTCACTTAGCATAATGTTTTCAAGGCTCATCCATGTTGTAGCATCTATCAGTGTTTCATTATTTTTTATGGCTGAATAATATTCCATTGCATATGGATATAACACCTTTTGTTCAGCCCTTCATCAACTGATGGACATTTAGTTTCTTACCACCTTTTGACCATTGCGAATAGTACTACTATGAATATTGATTGGTTCAGATGTTTTTGTTTTAATAACTATTTTCAGTTCTTTGGGGTACACAATTAGGATTGGAGTTTGAGTTATATGGTAATTCTATGTTCAATTTTTTGAGAACTACCAAATTATTTTCCAAAGAGGTGATTTTTTTCATTTTCTATCCACACCAGCAATAGGCTCTAATTTCTACACCCTCAGCAACACTTGCTCCTTTTGTTTTGTTTCTTGGTAGTCTTTTCAGTGTATGTCAGGGGATATCTCATGGTGATTTTGATTTGCATTTCCCAGATGATTAATCATGTCTCCCATCTTTTTGTGTAATTGTTGAACATGTGTGTAACTTTTTTGGAGAAATGTCTATGCAAGTCCTTTGCCTATTTTTTAATTCATTGTTTGGCTTTTGGTTGTTGAGCTGTAAGAGTTCTTTATATATTCCAATAGTAGACTCTATGAGACATGTGATTCACTAATTTTTTCTCCCATTCCATAGATTGTCTTTGCACTTTCTCCGTGGTCTTTTCACTTTAATGAACATTAAAGTGATGAAATCCATTTTCTCTGTTTTTTCTTTTGTTGTGTGGGCATTTGGTGTCATATCAAGGAATCCATTGCCAAACCCAAGGCCATGAAGATTTACACCTGTGTTCCTCCTTCCTAACTAGTTCTAGTTCTAGTTTCACCTCATAATTGTAGGTCTTTCAGATGAATGGATAAAGAAGATGTGGTGTATATATACGATGGAATATTACCCAGCTATTAAAAGAATGAAATCTTTTTTTATTTATTTACTTTTATTTTAGTTAACATATAATGTATTATTGGTTTCAGAGGTACAACTCTGATTCATCAGTCTTATATAATACCCAGTGCTCATTACATCACATGCGCTCCTTAATATCCATCACCCAGTTACCCCATCCCTCCACCCCTCTCCCCTCCAGCAACCCTTAGTTTGTTTCCTCTGATTAACAGTCTCTTATGGCTTGTCTCCCTCTCTGGTTTCATTTTGTTTTATTTTTTCCTCTCTTCCCCTATGGTCCTCTATTGTATTTCTTAAATTCCACATATCAGTGAGATCATATGATACTTGTCTTTCTCTGATTGACTTATTTTGCTTAGCATAATACCCTCAGTTACATCCACATCATTGCAAATGGAAAGATTTCATTTTTGATGGCTGTGTAATATTCCAAATATATATATATATATATATATCACATCTTCTTTATCCATTCATCTGTGATGGACATCTTGCATCTTGGCTCTTTCCATAGTTTGGCTATTGTGGACATTGCTGTTATAAATATTGGGGAGCAGGTGCCCCTTCAGATAACTACATTTATATCTTTTGGGTAAATACCCAGTAGTGCAATTGCTGGGGCATTTGCTAGCTCTATTTTCAACTTTTTGAGGAACCTCCATACTGTTTTCCAGAGTGGCTGCACCAGCTTGCATTCCCACCAAGAGTGTAGGAGGGTTCCCCTTTCTCTGCATCCTCACCAACATCTGTCATTCCCTGACTTGTTAATTTTAGCCATTCTGACTGATGTGAAGTAGTATCTCATTGTGGTTTTGATTTGTATTTCCCTGATGCTGAGTGATGTTGAGCATTTTTTCATATGTCTGTTGGCCATTTGGATGTCTTCTTTGGAGAAATGTCTGTTCATGTCTTCTGCCCATTTCTTGATTGGATTATTTGTTCTTTGGGTGTTGAGTTTGATAAGTTAAAATGAACAAAATCTTTCCATTTGCAACAAATGTGGGTGGAACTAGAGGGTATTATGTTAAGCGGAATAAGTCAGTCAGAGAAAGACAAATATCATGATTTCACTCATTTGTGGAATTTAAGAAACAAAAGAGATGAACTTAGGGGAAGGGTAGGAAAAATAAAATAAGATGAAATCAGAAAGGGAAACAAACCATTAGAGACTCCTAAACAAACTGAGGGTTGCTGGAGGGGTGGTGGGTGGGAGAATGGGCTAACTGGGTGATGGGCATTAAGGAGGGCACTTGATGTAATGAGCACTAGGTGTTACACGCAACTGATGAATCACTAAATTCTACTTCTGAAACTAATAATACACTATATGTTAATTAATTGAATTTAAATTAAAAATAAAATAAATTTAAAAAATTTTTAATGTAGGTCTTTGACCCATTTTGAACTAATTTTTGTGTGTTGTGTGAGGTAGGGTTCCAGCTTCCTTCTTTTGTGTGTGGATAGCCAGATGTGCCAGGACCATTTGTTAGAGAGACTTTTCTTTTTCCACTGAAGGGTCTTGGCACCAGTTGTTGGAAATTAATTAACCATAGATGTATGGGCTTGTTTCTGGACTTTCAATTCTATATTACTGATCTGTATGACTATCCTTATGCCATTGCCCTCCTGTTCTGATTACTGTAGGTTGGTAGTCAGTTTTGAAATTAGGAAGTTAAGTACTCCAATTTTGTTTTTCATCTTCAAGATAGTATTTGGGTATATGCAATGCCCTGTGGATTTTAGGATGGGCTTTCCATTTCTGCAAAAACTTAAATAACTAAAATTGCTTTGGAATCCTGATAGGGATTGCACTGAATCTGTACATCTCTGTGGGGACCATTACCATCATAACAATATTGATTCTCCCACCCATGAATACAGTTTTCGGTGTACAAGTCTTGAGCATCCTTGGATAAAATTATTCCTTATATTTTGCTGACGATTTTGACATCTATATTCATAAGAGATTGGTCTATAGTTTTTTTTTTCTTGTGATATCTTTATCTGGTTTTGTTTACAGGGTGATGGTGACCTCATAGAATTATTTAGGTAGTATTCCTTTCTATATTATTTTACATTATTTTATTTTATTTAATGGAGAAGTTTACAAAGGATTAGTCTTTTAAATGGATGGTACCATCCTTAAATGGATGTTAGAATTCAGCAACAATGCCATCTGGTGTGGGCTTTTCGTTTGGGGAAGCTTTTAATAAACGATTCAATGTCTTTACTTATTGCAGGTTTGTCCTGATTTTCTGTTTCTTCTAAAGTCAGTTTTACTAAGGATGTACTATATATTGGCTAATTGAACTTAATTTTTAAAAAAGTCAGTTTCAGTAGTTTGTGACTCTTTAGGAATTTCCTCATTTCATCTGGGTTATCTAACCTACTGTTGAATAATTGCTTATAATATTCTCTTATGACCCTTGATAAATTCAAATTATATACATATATAAAATTATTATGTATACCAAATATGTGTAATATTGTTATTATGTGTGCCAAATAATACTATTATTAATATATAATATATAGATCTAGAACATGCATATGTTATATGCATATATTATATTATGTGTGCATTCTATAAATTATATAATATATGATATTCAATATTATATATTATATATGGCTTTTATATAAATTTATATTTTATGTAAAGTATTTATATTATAGATTTAGGTAATGTATAAAATATTTTTATACATACATCATATATACACACATAAAATGGTGTTATACCAACCACTACAGCCACAAATACTAATCTAACTCCCTTATACAACTCTGACATCTTATAGACCTGTCCCTGAAGGTGCGGGAGCAAGGAGATAGAAATGTCATCTTGAATCAGAATCAGGTGAAGATGCTGCTGAACTGGGATGTAGTGCACGAATCTGATGACTCAGGTACTGGCTGAGATGGGAGGAAGGTCACAAGATGCCCAAGGATGTGACAAATGGGGAACTGGAGATTAAAGGGAAAAGGGGGGTTAGTGGAGCCACAAAGAGTCCCTCTGAGGAGGAAGGGGCCCTGTGGGAACCCCAAGGTATCAACATTGGCCTCTTCCTGCAGGTCTTTCTGTGGTGGGCCTTGTCTCCACTCCAGGGATGGGCAAGTTGCTGGCTGAGGCCCCCTTGGTCCTGGAGCCTGAGAGGCAGGCAGTTCTGCATGGGACACACAAGGGCGTGCTGCGAGGAGTCTCCCCTGTCCTGCTTTCAGATGTCATCTCTGCCTTTATGAGCAACAGGGACACCCAGAACCTCAGCTCCCCCATCACCTTCATCTTCTCCCACCATGTGAGTGCTGGTGAGATGGGACTGTGGATGTGGAAGGAGCCTGGGTCCTGGGCACAGCCTCGCTGCCCAGCTCAGTCTTTATTGAGGTTCTTGGGGGCTCCCCCATGGGTGCATCATTCCCCAAAGAAAGCCCTTTGCAAGCCAGCTTTGGATAAGCATTTCTGAGCACCAGAAAACCAGCTTCCACCTACACTCTGTTTCTACAGTCAGTGACCCGTGGGCCAATGCAAAAGGTGTTCTGTGTCTTCTGGGATCACACTCCAGATGGATATGGTCATTGGTCCACCACAGGCTGCAGGTTGGTGGCCACTGGAGACACCAGCACCACCTGCCAGTGCACCCACCTCAGCAGCTTTGCAGTCCTCATGGCCCACTATGATGTGCAGGTGAGAGCCCTGCAAGGGGCTGGATTCCATGCTTATTGCTCTGTAATATATTTCCCCCACATGTAGGGGCTTTAAAAAAAAAAAAAACAGAAATTTCTATCTTGTGGTTTCTTTGGGTCAGCTCGGGTATGGTAGTCCTGAGATGCTGTTCTGGGTCTTACAAGCCTGAAAATCAGCCAGATCTACATTCTCTTCTGCAGCTCAGTTTCCTCCTGTGAGCTCCTTGGTTGCTGGCAGGATTCACTTCCTTGTAGTCATAGGACTGGGGTTCCACTTTCTAGCTAGCTGTGAGCAGGAGACCTTGCTCAGCAAGCTAGGGGCTGCCTGCATTCCTTCTCTAGCAGCCCTCACACAGTGTATCAGCATTTCTATTCAGAAGCCATCAGGAGGAGCTCCCTCACTGCAAACACTCTCATACTTTGAATCATTTTTCTCCAAGAGCCCAGAGCTTTTAAAGCTAACTTGATTAGGCCAGGCCCACCCACAAGACTCCCTCTCTTAAAGACTAGGATCTGAATTCCACCTGCAAAACCCTTTCAGAGCAACATCTAAAATGGCATTTAACTGAAAACCCAGAAGAAAGTGTGTGTACACCTATTATTGACAAATTAGATTTCTGCTTAACACAGGGGTCTTCAGGACAGGAAGGCTGTAGAAAGTGGCTCTCAGGGGCTGTAGAAAGGAAGATTTGGTGGTGGCAGAGGTCAAAGGGGCCAAGAGAGCCACTGAGTACAGGTGGGTTAGGAACTATGTTTGCCTGCTCCACTGGCTAGGTGAGCTGGTTACTTTCTCTGGATCCCCACATCAAAGACTTACTTAGGTGATTTGTAAAGTAAAATAAACCCTTGTGAGTTCCTGGGCTCTGTCTTAAGTAAGGACTCTCCTACACCTCAATTTTTCCAAGGTCTGAGTTAATCAGTTCAGATTTCCATTCTAGCATTCTGAACCTAGAGGAATTTACCCAATAACATAACAAATCTACCTGCATCCTTCTTTCCTGATTTGACTACAGCAAAAATAAAAATAAAATAAAATTTTTTTAAATAGAAGATTTTTAAATTACCTCAGAGTAGGAAAATGTGACTGTGATGTCCTCTTTGCTTCTCTTTGCTGGGCCCCAGGAGGAGGATCCCGTGCTGGCTGTGATCACCTACCTGGGGCTGGGCCTCTCTCTGCTGTGCCTCCTCCTGGCAGCCCTCACCTTTCTGCTGTGCAAAACCATCCAGAACACCAGCACCTCACTCCACCTGCAGCTCTCAATCTGCCTCTTCCTGGCCCACCTGCTCTTCCTCACGGCCATCAACCAGACCGAGATCAAGGTACTGACAGTGTCACAGAAGAGCTCCTGCCCTGTCGCAGGGGTGCTCAGTTCATGGAGCTGTGCTGCAATGATATCTTAATAAACTGGCCTTGGGTTCTGGGGAGGGTAGAGGGGTAAGTAGTCTATTTCACATTGACTAATGAATGGAAGACATTAGGAGACAAACCCTCTCCTGACAACTTGACCATATACATGGGAGTTCTCTTCAATGGTAAAGTATGGTACAGGTCCTGGGGCCACCCTCCTCCCTGACAGTCCCTCCTGGTGACACCTTTCTCCTCCCCCAGGTGCTGTGCGCCATCATTGCAGGTGCCCTACACTATCTCTACCTGGCGTCCTTCACCTGGATGCTGCTGGAGGGTCTGCACCTCTTCCTCACTGCACGCAACCTGATGGTGGTCAACTACTCCAGTGTGAGCAGGGTCATGAAGAAGCTCATGTCCCCTGTGGGCTATGGAGTCCCAGCTATAATTGTGGCCATTTCTGCTGCATCCAGGCCTCACCTTTATGGAACACCCACCCGGTAAATGCGATTTCCCACTGTCCTTCCCATCTTCTCCAGCATGACTATGGCCATCATAAAACCAACAGTTATTTAATTCCACCAGATCATGATAGGCAGACAAAAGGTCAGTGACCACTCCAAGGACATCTACCCGGTGGAAGATTGCATTCATTGAAGTAATTGTTTTTAAGTCATTAAGATATAATTGTTTTAAATGTTAATTATAATGTATGTTAATAATTATCTATTTAAATAATAAAGTGCATTATATTAATAACTATATACTAATATATTGATGATGTTTAATAATTACAAATTAATCTAGTTAAGATAAATGAGTTTACTTTTTAATCTTTTAGATTTAATTATTTTAAATATTAAGTGTATATTATGTTAATAACTGTATTGTATTAGTGACTATAGTCCGTAATATAAATAGCATCATATGTATTAGTAAATATATATTAAAATAGTATTCATTGCATCAATTGAGGGAAGAGTTTTAAATCTTCCAGAAAGCAAAACTGAAATGAATAAATGGCATTAATTTGTGTAAACTCTTTCTCTATCCTAATTTTAAAAGAAACAAATGGTCATTTGGATGACGAAATCACTGTGACCACAGCTAAGATTTAGAAATCACTTCTGATGTACAATCACCATTCTAAATATTTTTCACGTGTCAGCTCAAATCATCCCCCCAACAACCTGTGCAGTAGAAACTAGTATTGGGCCATATTACAGATGAGTAACTGAGGCACAAGGAGATTAACTAACGTGGCCAAGGTCACACAGCTGGTTGGTGGCAGAGCTGGGGTCACTTCAGGTCTGGTGCTCACCCTATGCACTTATCCTGATGACATGAGTTACTCAGCTGCATCAGGGAGCCCTGGCCAGCTGGCCTCCCTAGGGAGTTGAGCATAAAGGTCAATGAACTTTTTCCATAAAAGGCCAGATAATCAATATTTCCAACTTTTGTTGGTCTTATAGTCTCTGCGGCAACTACTCAGCTCTGTCCTCAGAGCACAAACAGAGCCATAAACAATTCAGGAGGGAATAAGTGTGTGTTCCAGTAAAACCCACTTATAAGAGCAGGGCGGCAGCCGCCTGCTTTGCCAATGCCTACCTTCGAAACTTCCCTTTGATGTTTCCCGCTGGGTCCATCTGACCCTCTCCCCAGTCCTCACACCTCCCACCTCACTCACAGCTCCCCTCCCTGGGGATAAAGTCCAGCTCCGTCATTGCTCTCAGTGTGGCCTTGAGATGCCTGACCTGTGAGTGTGTGAGTACCTGTGTCCTCATGAGGAATAAGTAATGCACGTGAGCCTTACTGCTGGGGCAGGCTCACTGTTTTGTTTCATTTGGGTTTTTTCATTCATTTCTTGGATGGTCCAAAATTTTCACCTGTGTACACCCACTCATCACTCATATTTCAGCTTAAACACAATTCAGTTCTTTCAGGGACACCTTTCCCAACTATCTGGATCTCCTATACCCTGGACTAGGTTATGGATCCAGCTACATATCCTCAAAGCTCCTCATACTTGGGCATAAAATTCATCATTTTGACTTTGTCTATTGTCTAATTGTTGATCCTCCAACTTCATCTGTGTCTCCCTGAGGACTGAGATCACTTCTCTAATCCCAACTGGGTCTTCAGAAACAAGCACAGATCCTGACACAGAGGAGACACTCAATACTTATCCAAAAAAACCCATAAATTAATTTACTGATCAATACTGTTATTTTCTTTTTTAAAAATCACGTTTATTTCTGCCAGCATATCTGGGGGCCAAGACATAGAAGAGTTTTTTGAAAGGAACTTATCTTTTTTTAAAGACCACTTGATTAAGGTGTGATTGACATGTAAAACACCATATGTAATTAATGTACACAACCTGATGAGTTTGGGGCTAACACCCATGAAACCATTGCCACCATCAAAGGCACATACAAAGTTTACAAAGTTGTAGTTCTGCAAAATAAATAAGTTTAGGAGATCTATATTACATAGCGCATATAGCTAATAATAGTGTATTCTATACTTAAAATTTACTAGGAGGGTATGTTAAGTGTTTTAACAAAAAAAAATGATAATAATGATGAAGGCAGAAGGAAACATTAGGAGGGGAGGGGTATGTTTATTTATCAGTCCTCCGTCTATGAAAGCCAATATTTTCTTGAATCTCTTCCCATCTCTCTCTAAGATGCTGGCTCCACACAGACAAAGGATTCATATGGACCTTTCTTGGCCCCGTCTGCACCATTTTCTCCGTGAGTAATGGATGACATCAGAGCAGCCTGCCTGCCCAGCTGAGGGTTATTCAAAGACCAGGTGTATCAGGAGGGTGACAGGTAGGGTGAGCAGTCATTCCAGTTGGTCCAGGACTGATGAGGGGCTCCCAGGAGGTGAAAATTCCCATTATAAAACCAGGACTAAGGTGTTTCCTGAGACGTGGTACTTTCAGTGCTAAAATTTGGAATTCCCATGCAAACTGAATTGGTTACCGATGTTACAGGACAAACATGGGCCTGAGTTACTGGGTGTTTGGTTTGCTTTTCTAGGACTGTTACAAACACAAAAGCTTCTTTCCTGCCAGGTTAGGAGCTGGATGAGCTAGGACGAAGGTTTGCCAGATGTGGAGTGTAGTTAATATACCTGTGGGTTTTCTGCAGATTAATTTGGCTTTCTTTCTGATGACCTTCTGGATTGTGAAAAACAAGCTCTCCTCCGTCAGCAGAGATGTGTCCACCCTCCAGAACACAAGGTGAGGATGGGTCACAGATGCACACCACCCCCTACACAGAACATTATCCTCATGCTTCCAAGGCTCTGGTGTCCCTTCATGGGGCTCCTGGGGGGACGGGAAGAGAGAGGTGCAGCCACCCTCCTTGGCAGCCAGCTCAGATTCCGGGGTTTGCTGCTGACACCCATGCCAAAAACATCTCATCCATGCACAACCATAACAACCAACTGCTTCAGCTGCAGAGAGAATGGACTTTGTTCTGATAAGCAGGGATTGCTACCATGGCCCAATGAAAAAGGTCCTGAGAACATTCACATACTTATAACACACTCAGGAAATCACACAACAGTTTCCAGAACCAGCATACCCCATCATGCCCATGCCTTCATGCATGCTCTGCCCTCTGCCTTCCCCTTCCCTTGCACCTGGTGAATTCAGCTTCAACATCCACATATCACCACATCTAAGAGTTTGGGGATGTCCTCTGCTTTCCTCAACTTTGCACAGAATCAATGGCCTCTATTCTGGGCAAAGCATGTCCCGATTCAGTTCATGGAGAGGGTGAGGAAAGGAACAGCCCTGGATGGAAATAAATACCTCACTTCGCAAATGTTATAAGTGATCATTTGTTCTTGTCTTTCCACTAGACTTTAAGATCTGTAAAAACAGAAGTCTTGTCTTTGTTGTTTTGAATGCCCTAGCCCCAGCCTAGAGCCAGGCGCACAGAACATTCTCAGTAATGTCAGCTGAACAAATTCAGGATCTTCATGAAACATCATGGTCTTTTTGAAACTCATTCTCAAGTGTCACCATTATCCTCAGTCCTAGTCAAAATGCCATCCTGGACCCAAATAGTGTTTCTCTTTAGGGAATCATTGACAATAAAGATCAAAGTTGATCACAACTCAGTCAGAAGCATCCATGGAGTGGACTTGAAACCAGCCCTGGTTGTGTTGTTCTGGGTGCATCATGACCTCCTTTCTCCTCCTACCCAGGATGCTGACATTTAAAGCCACAGCTCAGCTGCTCATCTTGGGCTGCACGTGGTGCCTGGGCATCCTGCAGGTGGGTCCAGCTGCCCATGTCATGGCTTACCTCTTCACCGTCATCAACAGCCTGCAGGGCTTCTTCATCTTCCTGGTGTACTGCCTCCTCAGCCCACAGGTACCACTGCCTGACTTCCACCCGGTCCTCCTACCATCCTCACTCCCCTCAGTGAGCTGACCCAAGCATGCTTTGCCTCTGCAGGTCCGGGAACAATACAAGAAATGGTTCAAAGGAGTCAGGAAAACCAAAGCCGAGGCTGAGAAGTGCACTCTCTCAAGCGGGACCATGTCTGATGCCTCCAAACACAGTGTGGTAAGATTATGCAGTGCTCCCAGAGCACTTCACTAACCGATCCTCTTGAGATGCTCATGCCTATCTCATTGAACAACCTGGGTATATAGCAGGTGATGCCCTAGGATGGCTCACACTTGGTTTTCACCTGAACTCACCTGAAGGCACTTCCCTGTCTTGAAAGGAGGTCTTCCTATACTTTCACTCACTTTCTATGCTCTCATTGACCCTTGCACATGACTGTCTCTTTCTCTACAATTGTAGAGCACCCACTTTATGTGACATGGGTGCAACCCATTTTTAATTGTACTTAGGAACAAGATACAAAATACTCAGAAGCAGAGAATGATGCTGTGATCAACCCAGTAATCAGGAATAGTGATCTGTAGCACTGATGCACAAGCTGCACAGAATCACCACACATCCTTTATCCCTAGTCATTCCATGCCATCCCTGTATATGATGAACAATAAATATGTGTATATATAGTCATAAAAGTAAAGTAAAATAAGTATTAAGTTGGACTGGAGACCTTTCAAAGTCTGCAATCATTTCTAGTATTTCCAAATACACAAACACTGCAAAACCTCACTAGAGAATCACAGAAGGCAGAGGAGAGATTCTGAAAATGTGAATAGTTCCTAGCATTTGTATTTCGGGTTTACAAAACCTTTCTCTTCTTAGACTTCTCTTGACAATATTTTGTACTTTTCTGTGTACACATCTTGCACCTTCTAACACAAAATCATATTTACACCTTCCTTCTTAGGAGAATTATAATGAAGAGCTAAACCTGACGAACTTGTCTCTAAGGAAATGAAGAAAACACTCTCTGCCATCCTTTGGGCAAAGAATATAAAAAATGCTTTTTCATGTTTATTACAAATAACTCTTCTTGGCACCACTGTGGGAGACAGTAAGCAGTAAATGTTTGACATTCAGTTGCTGGAGACTTTTGGTTTTCTGGTGCATACAACATGCTCATCTCACTCCCAGTATAATCAGGAGCTATGACCATATACCCCAGTAGAAGCCTCTTCTACAAAAATTCTTCCTCAGGTTGATGATATATAACAAGGAAAACCAGCCTCAAAGGACTTTCCTAAAATAGCATCAGAGAGGAAAGTAATATTCACATACCTGCATGTAATATAAACAACAAATCACAGTTGCTCAAGACTTTCCTGGTTTTAGTACTGAAAGTATTACATCCCAGAAAACACTTTCGTTACAGGCAAAGTAGACCAGTTGGTCTTCATACATATATACATGCCTCAACTTCTTCACTCTCCATTTCTAAAGACTTACTAATTTATTCATTTCAAAAATATGTACTGGGAACAGATCAAGAAGATCCAATTCCTGATTTCACAGAATTTAAATGTGGGAGGAGAAAAGTTTCATCAGAGTAAAATCAGAGCTATGGGACTAGAGTTTCTGCATCTTTACATTTTATAAGTTGAGTTGTGGAAAAAGGTGTATATGACTACTGCACATTTTGTGAGATGTCTTTATAGATAACATTATTTCACCCTCACTCAGTCTAAGCAAGATCTAAATCCAGAGCAGTTACACCTACAAGAAACTCCCTGAGGGTTCCCTCTGACCCATTCTGTATCAATTTGAACATCAAGGAAAATGACTGCACATGATTATAATGTTTTAAATAAGCATATCCATGAATCCATACTGATACTTTAAAAATCATCTAATAGATGCGGAAAATACAACAGAATTAGAAGAGCATGATTCTTTCAATATCTCATAAATGGCCACTACAAGCATTGAGTAAAAGGCTTTGGAGAACAGGCTGGGACCACAGTGCCAAAGAATCACCTCACAGACTACCAATTAATTACAAGGGACAAAGCGTACATTTGCAACATGGAGATCTGACAGCCACCATCTGAACCTAAAGATGAAACTTAATATCATCAGTGGTGGGCAAACTGACTATGTATCTCCTGATATGTCATGAAATTACAACATCCCATTTTTAGTAAATAAAGAATTATTAATAAATCAGTCTAACTGAAATCTAATCCAATCTTTAGGCTGTGGGTTGGCAAAGTATAGCATGCAGGCCAAATCCAGGGAGTTCCCTGTTTTTGTTAATAAAGTTTTATTGGAACACAGCCATACCCATTCATCGATGTATTATCTATGGCTGCTTTCATGCTACAATGTCAGAGTTGAGTTGTGACAGAGACTGGAAGGCCACAAAGCCAAAAATATTTGCTACCTGGCCCTTTATAGAAGAAGCTTGCTGATATCTGTCCTTTTAGACCTAACTTTCAATATATATGAAATACGGGAGACAAAACAATTTAAATGACATCATGAGGAAACCATCAGGCAAATCCTGAACATGGGCATTCAACAAGACAATTGGCCTGTCCCTCATCTAAAATCAATATCATTTTTATTTTTATTTTTTTTAAAGATTTTATTTATTTATTTGAGAGACAGAGAGAATGAGAGCGAAAGCACATGAGATGGGGGGAGGGTCAGAGGGAGAAGCAGACTCCCTGCTGAGCAGGGAGCCCGATGCGGGACTCGATCCAGGGACTCCAGGATCATGACCTGAGCCGAAGGCAGTCGCTTAACCAACTGAGCCACCCAGGCGCCCTAAAATCAATATCATTTTTAAAAAGTGACTAGATCACCACATCAAAAACTAATGATGTATTGTATGGTGACTAACATAACATAATAAAATTTTTTTAAAAAAGTGACTGGAGCACTGGGTATTATACACGAACAATGAATCATGGAACACTACATCAAAAACTAATGATGTACTGTATGGTGACTAACATAACATAATAAAATTTTAAAAAAATAAAAGTGACTGGAGGTTGCTCTGAATTAAAAGAAATGAAAGTGACATAACAAACAAATTCAGTGTCAATTTCAGTGGGACTCTGGTTCAGATACACAACTATCCATAACATTTTGGAGGCAATTAGGATAATTTGAATATGTATCAGATATTGAAAGTTATTATGAAATTGTTGCTAATTTTCTTGGGTATAATGATAATATTGTGGTTATGTAGAGAACATTCCTTGAATTCTCAAATATTTGTTGAACAGGTATTGAAGAATGAAGTGTCATGATGTCTACCACATATTATCATATGTTTTAGCAAGAAAATTTAATCCATGTGTGGAAATAAGTTGAGAAAGGTGTTTTAATGTGGCACTATGTTAACAATTATTGACTCTTGATGGAGAGTATATGAGTGTTTATTGTATCATTTTTCCAAATTCTCAATGTTTAAAATGGTAAATAAATGTGTCAGAAAAGTAGATAAATATATTAGTTATTAATTCATTAAAGATATATACCCTTATAAATTCCTAAATGTCGAGATAAAATGCTTTTTCCGCTGAACAAAACTAACTTTGTGAATGGATCTTTTTTTAAGATTTTTTTTAATTTTTTTATTGTTATGTTAATCACCATATATCATTAGTTTTTGATGTAGTGTTCCATGATTCATTGTTGGTGCATAACACCCAGTGCTCCACGCAGACCATGCCCTCTTTAATACCCATCACCTGGCTAACCCATCCTGCCAACCCCTCCCCTCTAGAAACCTCAGTTTGTTTTTCAGAGTCCATCGTCTCTCATGGTTCCTCTCCCCCTCCGACTTACTTCCCTTCATTCTTCCCCTCCTGCTATCTTCTTCTTCTTTATTTTTTCTTAACATATATTGCATTATTTGTTTCAGAAGTACAGATCTGTACTTCTGACAACAGTCTTGCACAATTCACAGCGCTCACCATAGCACATACCCTCCCGAATGTCTGTCACCCAGCCACCACATCACTCCCACCCCCAACCACTCCAGCAAAACTCAGTTTGTTTCCCGAGGTTAAAAATTCCTCGTATCAGCGAGGTCATATGATACATGTCTTTCTCTGATTGACTTATTTCACTCAGCATAACACCCTCCAGTTCCATCCATGTCGTTGCAAATGCCAAGATCTCATTCCTTTTTATGGCTGCATACTATTCCATTGTGTATATATACTACATCTTCTTTCACCATTCATCTGTTGACGGACATCTTGGCTCTTTCCACAGTTTGGCTATTGTGGACATTGCTGCTATAAATATTGGGATGCACGTACCCCTTCGGGTCCCTACATTTGTATCTTTGGGGTAAATACCCAGTAGTGCAATTGCTGGATTGTATGGTAGCTCTATTTTCAACTGTTTGAGGAACCTCCATACTGTTTTCCAGAGTGGCTGCACCAGCTTGCATTCCCACCAACAGTGTAGGAGGGTTCCCCTTTCTCCACATCCCCGCCAACATCTGTCGTTTCCTCACTTGTTAATTCTAGCCATTCTGACTGGTGTGAGGTGGTATCTCATTGAGGTTTTGATTTGGATTTCCCTGATGCCTAGCGATGTTGAGCACCTTTTCATGTGTCTGTTGGCCATTTGGATGTCTTCTATGGAAAAATGTCTATTCATATCTTCTGCCCATTTCTTGATTGGATTATCTGTTCTTTGGGTGTTGAGTTTGATGAGTTCTTTATAGATTTTGGATACTAGCCCTTTATCTGATATGTCATTTCCAAATCTTTTCTCCCATTCTGTCAGTTGTCTTTTGGTTTTGTGGACTGTTTCTTTTGCTGTGCAAAAGCTTTTTATCTTGATGAAATCCCAATAGTTCATTTTTGCCCTTGCTTCCCTTGCCTTTCGCGATGTTTCTAGGAAGAAGTTGCTGCAGCTGAGGTCGAAGAGGTTGCTACCTGTGTTCTCCTTTAGGATTTTGATGGACTCCTGTCTCACGTTTAGGTCTTTCAACCATTTGGAGTCTGTTTTTGTGTGTGGTGTAAGGAAATGGTCCAGTTACATTCTTCTGCATGTGGCTGTCCAATTTTCCCAACACCATTTGTTGAAGAGACTGCCTTTATTCCATTGGACATTCTTTCCTGCTTTGTCAAAGATGAGTTGACCATAGAGTTGAAGGTCCATTTTTGGGCTCTCGATTCTGTTCCATTGATCTATGTGTCTGTTTTTGTGCCAGTACCATATTGTCCCGATGATGACAGCTTTGTAATAGAGCTGGAAGTCCGGAATTGTGATGCCGTCAGCTTTGCTTTTCTTTTTCAATATTCCTCTGGCTATTTGGGGTCTCTTCTGGTTCCATACAAATTTTAGGATTACTTGTTCCATTTCTTTGAAAAAGGTGGATGGTATTTTGATGGGGATTGCATTGAATGTGTAGATTGCTCTTAGGTAGCACTGACATCTTCACAAAGTTTGTTCTTCCAATCCATGAGCATGGACGTTTTTCCATTTCTTTGTGTCTTCTTCAATTTCTTTCATGAGTATTTTATAGCTTACTGAGTACAGATCCTTTGCTTCTTTGGTTAAATTCATTCCTAGGTATCTTATGGTTCTGGGTGCAATTGTGAATGGGATCGACTCCTTGATTTGTCTCTCTTCTGTCTTGTTGTTGGTTTATAGGAATGCCACTGATTTCTGGGCATTGATTTTATATCCTGCTACTTTACAGAATTCCTGTATGAGTTCTAGCAGTTTTGGGGTGGAGTCTTTTGGGTTTTCCACATACACTATCATATCATCTGCAAAGAGTGAGAGTTTGACTTCCTCTTTGCCAATTTGGATGCCTTTGATTTCTTTTTGTTGTCTGATTGCTGTGGCTAGGACTTCTAATACTATGTTGAATAGTAGTGGTGAGAGTGGACATCCCTGCCGCGTTCCTGACCTTAGGGGAAAAGCTCTCAGCTTTTCCCCATTGAGAATGATATTGGCTGTAGGTTTTTCATAGATGGCTTTTATGATATTGAGGTATGTGCCCTCTATCCCTATACTGTGAAGAATTTTGATCAGGAAAGGATGCTGTACTTTGTCAAATGCTTTTTCTGCATCTGTTGAGAGGATCATATGATTCTTGTTC